ACATTTTTCTATCTACTCGGTGAATTGCCCATGATTTTGAAAAAGATTCGAGAGTCCAAAGTAGTATTGAGAATTGGGTAACCACGAGATAATACCAATCTATCAATTGAATCCCTTAGATATATATAATGAGAGATGAAGTTTCTATAAGCCCTAGGCTCTATAAAATGAAATAAAACCTCATCTCAAATTCTTGTCTGGAAAGCATTTTTAGCAACGGAAACTTTCATGATGGTTCTAAAATCAATTTTCAACCCCGACAATAAAATTTGAAACTAAAAAAGTAGTACAAATCTTGCGGATCTATAAACATTTATTATAAGGGCAAAATAGTCGGCCTAGATGATTTGTTGCAATATACATTATTTTGAGATCTTTAAATCTTAATGTTTTTTCACAATTATATTGTTCAAGCCGAGATGGTGGATGTAAAGGCTTTGTCAGTGCTTCAATTGTAGTTTTCAATGAGTTATGAGGTGAGGCTTTACTTATTTTGATAAAGCTGCAGCCCTATCAAGTATCAAATCATTCCTATAATGAGACTTGCACATAGATTGCAGATATTCGGCTGTAAATTGATGCTCAAACTTATCTCCTGCCAACAACACTGGGCCCAGGCACTTAAGGGCGCGGGCGCATTTCATTCATGTGATCCTTTACTAAAACATGCGGCTCAAAATCGTGGGAGCGACTAAATTTGGTGGCAGCTGTTTGGCTTGGGTTCAGGTCGAATCCCACCGGACTAGCTGTCGCATAAACCAGCTGACCCGGGTCGGGTCCAAGTCATTTGGACCCAAACCCAAAACTGATTCGTACCAATAGTCACTCATGCTAATATAAACAAACATTGAATTTAAGCTCACAAGTTACTTGTATTTGGTAAATGGTGTCATAGATGTAAATGGCTGCCTCGCCCAATGTTTACAAAAAGCTCTCTCACCCCACGTCACGAGTGGTGGGCCGAAAATCGGCTGGTGAACCACCAAACTTGAAAGTCGGTTAATTCTCGAATCAATCCATAAAAAATTGAAAAGAAAAGAAAAATAATAAATACATAATGTTTGGGAATCAGGCGATCGGCCAGTCCAGATTTCCCGGTTCCCTAAAAATCTTACTTGGTTCCCTAACACAACCAAGCGACTCGAGAAGAAGCCTAACCGATTCTTGTTTACCGCGTCGATCACCCATACTGCTGGTTTTTTAAACAATAGTCGAAATCAGCCTATGAAAAATCAAATCGGAATGGTTAACCTAATGTGGGGCTGAAAGTGGTTCAACCGTTCTAACCGGACAAGTCCTGAGCGATCAAAAAAAGGTTAAAAAAAATAAATCAAAAAAAATATGAAAAATATATTTATTGCATGATTGAACAGAGAACATCTAAATGAAGTTGAAAATTAATGAAAAAATAGATTTAAAGAAATAATTGGTGTCTGGAGGTATTTTTGAATTTTTTTTTTAAAAAATGGGAAATATATAAAGTTAAGTATTAATAGTGAAAAGAATTTCCAATCTTTTCCAAAATGATGAAAAACATTAAAATAATGCATTGCAAACAAAATACTTTTTTTTTTTGGATTTTATATAACTTTTTTTGAAATTTTTAAAAAGGAAAAAGATTACATAAGGTTGCAACCTTAAAATGTAGAATTACGAATGCACTCAAAAATCCATCGAAAAATGTTGGTTTAATGTTAAAATACCTCTAAATGATCATCTCAACATCGAGATGTATTAATATGAAAAAGAAGAAAGATTTTGAATCCTAGAAAT